CACATCGTTCCTTCAGTCATTTCCTTCATAATTTCTTTAATCGTGGTCCCTACGTCGTTCACTACGTCTTCCCTACATAGTTCCCTTCATCGTTCCCTACATCGTGGTCCCTAGACAGGCAGTCGGGAGTGAGTGGATGATTTTGGACACAGCTGGAGTGAGACTCCTCAGTCAGTCTCACCTGATTGGCTTAGAGAGTAGTGAGGTGTCAAGTAAACATCCAATCCCAAGGCAGTGCTCTGAGTGGGCGGGGCAAAGGAGTCAGAAGGGCTTTCATTGGACGATGACACCAGCGCCTGACAGACAGAGAGGAGGGCTTACTGAGCGCGAAAACAAACGGGAGCCAACATCTCAAACAAATACTTAAACTGTCAACCATAATATGACGGCATGAATGAACAGTAATAAACTGTAATTACATTTATAATGTAAAATATAATATGTGTTGTCAATGGATATTATTTTTACCTATATCAATGTTACTTAGACTAAATAAATAAATATTAATATTGCATTTAATATTATTTAACACTGTATAGAATAATAGGATTTTAAAAACATTAAAAAGATATGATAGAACTTTATAAATGCTGAAAAAAACACTTAAAATGCATGTTAAATTCACTAAATGCACGGATAATATTATTGCTGCATATAAGGCTAACCTAATATTAATGAAAGTCCATGTTAATTCAAATAAATAAACTAATGACAACGTTTGTGTGTTCGTACGTCTCTCTCATGAGCCGTCCTCCACAGCTCTCTCCTCCTCTCCGCTGTGAGGTCACTGCTGACCTCACAACTGAGGTTGCTGGTGGCGGTGATGACATCACAGCTCCCACTGACCACAGACTCCGCCCTCTCTACATCCTGCCCCCCACCGCTGTCGATCAGCTGGACAGACACAAGACAATCGTCAGGCAATGGGAGCTGAGGAACGGTGACGCATCATCACAGGTGCGTGGTGATGTCACCCTCACCTGGTTCCTCCACAGACTGGCCACTGTGTGGTAGAGCAGCAGCAGCATCAGAGGGCTGCTGAAGTGGAACCAGCTGAGCTCAGAGTTCACCTGCAGCCTCCAGGGGGCAGCGCAGTCCGCCGAGGCCACCGACACCAGGCCCAGAACGCTGCACAGGAATCAAGGAATACTCACACCTTCTCAATTTATTACTTTCAGCTACCCTCTGCACCACCTGGTGAGGTGTGTGTCCTGGTGAGGTGTGTGTCCTGGTGAGGTGTGTG